GTAATAGATCGACCCAAGACTGCATACTCAACTGACAAAGGTTAGACACACAGTACCATTTCAACAGAAAGGGCACTCACACCCTTGTTCATGCCACTCTAGTTGCTTTCCCTGCCTTTCAACGTCACTTCATCTTATTCAGATTGAGCCTACACTAGTTTATTTCCATCCATAGCCCTATCCTTCTCAGACACTGGGAAAGCGGAGACATACAAGTCTCTGGGTTTGGTTTAAAGACTATGTGAAGAGGAGGTGTGATGGGGCATACTGGCTGTTCAGGGTTTGGGGGAGAACCCATTTGGGGCTGAAAGCACTCTGCCCCAAGCTGGTGCTTAGAAAGAAAACATATGTTTTCTATATGCACTTCAGCACGTTCTCTAGGACTAACCAAAGTAAATGGTATGGTGTGCTTGTCAGGTGTACTGAACACAATACCAGGCTGTCTTGTGGAGGACTCTGGGACTGTGGACCAGGTGGGTAAGCAGCACTCAGAAGTCATACTAGAGACAAGAGTGGCAGCAGCAAAAAGTAGAGGTGTAAACATGTTGTTTGAGGATGGCTGGCCAGAAAAGAAAGAGGCCTAGGGAAAGAATGTAGGAGAAGAACCAGGTTGTTCAGACTGGGTAGGGCTGGGAGGGAGGAAAGTCAAGAGTCTGTCTAGACTGAGTGTGTGTAAGTCTATGACCTTGCATCCAGGGTGAGATTAACAGGGTTGTTTATATCAAAATACTTCAGGAGAGGCACTTGTGGCAATCAATGTTTTAATTCCTGGAAATTTTGCAGTTGCACTAAATCCAATATCAATTGACTGTCAGGAAATAGTGGGAGTAGAGTTTGACAAATTTGGGTGACTATACACATATATGTGATCATCTCAATGGATTGGTCAAGTGCTACTTTGTCGTACAGGGTTTCCAGCTGAAAAATAGCTTCTGCCTTTTTTGGGTTGTCCTGAAGATTGTGTTCACTGAGTATGTGCCTCATAGAGATGATTTCTTCCATCCCAGTTTGGTAGTTTGCTTTAACTTAATTCCTAGGAGACAGAACTTTTTGGTGTAGAATTTTCTGGAAACAGCAGCCACCTCAATATTTCTCATGGGTGAGCATTCATGTTGAAATCTCATTTGGGCCTTAAAGATCAAAATAGAGCAATCCAACATGAATGCTGCCTCATGAGAAGTATAGAAGAGGAAACTGTTTCTAGAAAGCCCTCCCTCCTTCCCAAAAAAGTACTCTTGTCTAGATCTTTGACAAGTGCCACAGGATTTCAAAGTCTGTACGTGCTAATCTCTGCAAAGGGACAATGAAGGTTTCAGTTTGTGACCCACATTAAATGAATCCTACACTGTTTGCCTATCTCAAGAGGGAGAGAAATAAGGTGTTAAAGGGAAACTAATATAAAAACTGCAAAAATAATTTGACGCTGTCATACACAGTGGGCCAAATTAGGCTCGCAGTTACACCAGTGTAAACACTGAGTTATTCTGGTGTAACAGGGCAGAATTTTCCTCATTGGGCACCCAAAATTAGTGGAAATTTTTTATCTTAATATTTTTGTGCCTCAGTTCCCTGTGTGTAAAATGGAGTGTGAAAAGTACGCAGACACCGTAGTGATGAGTACAGCAAGCTAGAAAAGAAGAATTTCATCTAGCAAAATAGTTAGAGATTTCAAAATTTGTTCTGATCCTGCATCAGAACAAAACTGAAAAGGAGAGAAACCAACCACCCT